ATGGGGGGTTTGGGGAGGATTTATGGGGGTTTGGGGGGATTGGGGGGCATTTATGGGGGGTTTGGGGGGACTTATGGGGGTTTGGAGGGATTTATGGGGGTTTGAGGGGAGTTTGGGGGGTCAGGGGGGATTTATGGGGGGTTTGGGGGGGATTTGTGGGGGTTTGGGGGGAGTTTGGGGGGTCAGGGGGGATTTATGGGGGGTTTGGGGGGTGCTGTGGGTCTAGAGAGGGGTTTGAGGGGATCCCACCACCACAAAAAACTCCCCTGGACCCCCTAAATCCCCCCCCCAAACCCCAAACCAGCCCCTCCCAGTTCCCCCAGTTCACCTGCTGGGCCAGTTTGGCCGCGGCTGCCGCCAGCCCGGTCTCCACCGAGGCCACGCGCGTCCCCTCCCGCACCGGGCGGCTCTGCCGGGGCAGCGACGGCGTCACCCGAGCTGGGGGGACCCCGAAATCAGGCGCTGGGTCAGGGGGGACACCCCAAAACCGGACCCCAAAACCGGACCCCAAAACCGGACCCCAAAACCGGACCCCAAACAAAAGGGGGACCCCAAAATCAGATCCTGATCAGAGGAGAACGCCCCAAAACCAGACCCCAAATAAAGGGGGGACCCCAAAATCAGACCCCAAATAAAGGGGGGACCCCAAAATCAGACCCCAAATAAAGGGGGGAGACCCCAAAATCAGACCCCAAATAAAGGGGGGAGACCCCAAAATCAGACCCCAAATAAAGGGGGGAGACCCCAAAATCAGACCCCAAATAAAGGGGGGAGACCCCAAAATCAGACCCCAAATAAAGGGGGGAGACCCCAAAATCAGACCCCAAATAAAGGGGGGAGACCCCAAAATCAGACCCCAAATAAAGGGGGGAGACCCCAAAATCAGACCCCAAATAAAGGGGGGAGACCCCAAAATCAGACCCCAAATAAAGGGGGGAGACCCCAAAATCAGACCCCAAATAAAGGGGGGAGACCCCAAAATCAGACCCCAAATAAAGGGGGGAGACCCCAAAATCAGACCCCAAATAAAGGGGGGAGACCCCAAAATCAGACCCCAAATAAAGGGGGGACCCCAAATCAGTCCCTGCCCCCAAGGAGGAGGAGCTGGGGACCCCCCAGGACCCCAAATTCCTCCAACCCCCCCAAAAACTCCCCCGAAAAACTCCCCCCAAACCTCCCAGCCCTGCCCCGGGGACCCCCAAAATCCCCCCCCAAGGACCCCCCAAACCTTTGGGGCTCCAGGGCGCGTCGTCCGTCACCTTCTTCTTCTTGGGGAGCGATTTCAGGGCGGGGTCGTCCTCGTCCGACTCCAGCGAGGGATAAACTGGGGGGGCAGAAAAACGGGGGGCAGGGGGGGCCCAGCACGGCCGGGGGCGGCTTTGGGGGGAATTTGGGGTCTCCCCGGACATTTTTGGGGTCTTTTGGGGTCTTTTGGGGTGAATTTTGGGTCTTTTGGGGTGAATTTTGGGATATTTTTGGGGTCTTTTGGGGTAAATTTTGGGATATTTTTGGGGTCTTTTGGGGTAAATTTGGGGTGAATTTTGGGGTGAATTTTGGGGTGAATTTGGGGATATTTTGGGGTGTTTTGGGATATTTTGGGGTGTTTTTGGGATATTTTGTGGTGTTTCTGGGGTATTTTTGGGTGTTTCTGGGGTATTTTAGGGGTATTTTGGGGTGTTTTGGGATATTTTGGGGTGTTTCTGGGGTATTTTGGGGTATTTTGGGGGGTTTTTGGGGTATTTTGGGGTGTTTCTGGGGTATTTTTGGGTGTTTCTGGGGTATTTTAGGGGTATTTTGGGGTGTTTTTGGGGTATTTTGGGGTGTTTCTGGGGTATTTTGGGGTGTTTCTTGGGTGTTTCTGGGGTATTTTGGGGTGTTTCTGGGATATTTTGGGGTGTTTTTGGGATATTTTGGGGTGTTTTTGGGCTAACACTCACTATACTCAGCATCCTTGAAGCAGGCCCCCAGGCTGTCCTGCTCGTCCAGGCTCCCCTCGGCCTCGCTGTCGGTGCTCCGGGGGGCGGGGGGGGCTCTGCGGGGCCCCCCCGAGCCCCCGGGACCCCCCCTCTCCGTTCCCCCGGCCCCTCCCCACCAGTTTGGGGGTCCCAGGGGGGTCCCCGCGGGGAGGTTGGCCATGCACAGCATGCCCTGGATGGCCTCGCGCGTGCTGGGGGAGGCGGGGGCCTCGCTGGGGGGACAAAAAGGGGAGGGGGGAAATGGGGGTTGGGGAGGGGTCCCGGAACGTTTGGGGGTCCTCAGATTGAGGAGGGACAACCCCGAAAGGAGACGGGAAGGGTCAGAAGTGAACCCGGCCACACAAGGGACCCCCCAAAAAACTCCCCAGGGACCCCAAAACCCCAAAATCTCACCCCAAAACCCCAAAACCTGACCCCAAAACCCCAAAATCTGACCCCAAAATAACCCCAAAACCCCAAAATAACCCCAAAACCCCAAAATCTGACCCCAAATAACCCCAAAACCCCAAAACCTGACCCCAAATAACCCCAAAATCTGACCCCAAAATAACCCCAAAACCCCAAAATAACCCCAAAGCCCCAAAACCTGACCCCAAATAACCCCAAAACCCCAAAACCTGACCCCAAAATAACCCCAAAGCCTGACCCCAAATAATCCCCAGGAAGCCAAAGCCCAACCCCAAAGCACCTGAAGACCCCCAAAGCCAAGCCCAGGACCCCCAAACCAAACCTCAGCCCCCACAAAAACACCTTGGGACCCCTCCCCAGCCCCCCCCCGGCTCCCTGAGGACCCCCAAATGCAGCCCAGCCCCCCC